TAAAAGAAATGTTTACGACGCCTGGCAGGCATATAAATTTACGCATGGAAAAGCTTGCGCATTCCTCTCACAAACACACACACACACAAGCACACACACACACACACAGTGCCGCCGAGACGTGTTCGCATGGGACTGAGGGGCAGGACTCCACGTCACAGGGTTGCAATCAAGTCACTGCTTTTTGTGATTTGTCACTGTGATTTATGGCCTTTTTGCTTAGAGAAGTTTATGGTGCGGGGGCGTGGCCTGGAATTTTCCCTTGAACAGAAATGCTGCCACAGGAAATCACTGAGACACACACACAGGCTGGGAGAATGTGGAAAGCAGTGATTTTTTTAAGAACATTTCTCTGTAAATTGTTCACAAATTGGGTTCCGAAATGAATGCATTTTAATATCATTTAAAATATAGTAGGAATTTTTGGAGTATTAAATATAATATTAAACTATTTTATATTAAAGTTTCTTTATAATTTCCAACAAAAACTCAGAGTCATTGTCTTTCTTTTTTTAATCTTTTACCTCAAACTAAATATGATCAAAATTTATAGAATTTCTTTCATTTCAATCCCGAAAATCTACAATCCAAAAATCCTCAAATATCATCATGTCATAAACCCAAAATTTTCACCCGAAAATTAATTAAATTCATACCAGTTTATTTCCATTGCAATCGCAAAAATCTATAAAATTCCTTCACAGTTTTTTCTACTTTAATCCATCCTCTGAGCAAACTGCGTACGAGATTTCAGCTCTCAGTAACTCTTTTTGCAATGTAAATCACATCCAACATCCTATCCTCTCTTGATGTCGTGTCACCCGTGAATGGGGCTGTAAATCTTATCAGTAATTGAAAAATTCCAGCCCTAACCGACGGAGCAAGAGCTGAAGCTGGCAATGGTGCGCCGGTGGGGAATGTCAACATTTTCAAGCGCTAAAAAAAAATAATGTATTCTATGCGCACCTCTTGGATGGGGATCTCTGATCGGATTGGACTCCAAAGCCATACGGCTTGGGGCATGTGTGTGCGCTGTGCTGTGCCGTCTCTATCGGTAGTGGCTTTAATGCACAGCTGCTACTTAGCGAAAAACTGACAAAACAGTTTGGCACGCACTGATTGATAAGCAAACGGGGCAACGGGGCAACGGGTCGGCGAGTAGCAGTCGGTTTCGGAGTCAAGGAGGAGGTGGATCTGCCTCCAGTGGGGCATAAATTTCGCCACAGCCAGCTGCTGTAATTACCGCGCACAGGCACAGGCAAAGGCGCAGGCGCAGCAGCAGCAGCAGCAGCAGCAGATCTGCAGATGGAGAGGCACAAGGCACAAGGCAGACGGCACAAGGCGGAGGCACGTTTTTGCAGAGTTAGAGAGACGCGAAAAATATATTGCATGTTTACAGGAAAACTGATATTCGCCGATAAACGTTCAATGAAAGTCGCGCTGTGTGCAGCAGCAGCGGCGCGGAGTCGACTCCTCCTCCTACTCCTCCTGCTGATCCGAGTCGTGGCCAACAATTTGTAAAAACAATTATAGAAATTATCTCTTCTCTTTTTATAGTTTTTTTTTGCGAATTAAATTGAAATTTAAATTGCATTCGATGGCGGCCTCCCATAATCCGAGAGAGTATTTTTTGTTTTTGTTTTGTGGCCTGGGAAAGTGCGACCTACAAAATAGCCAAAAAAACCCGAACATCAACTGAAATTTGTACTAAAATTATTTGTACTATGTTTATTACGTTATATATTTATAGAACTCAAAAGTCTGACATCACTCGCTAGAGCACACGAATGCCCATGCCATGCCAGTCGATGCGATGCGATGCGAATGTGATGGATGATGACGGCGCTGATGATGATCTGAGAATGAAGCGTATAAGCCAGCACTAACCTTTTGTTAATAGTAGAACAACATCACAACACCAACACAGCACTTCAGCACTACATTTATTTGTTGCGTTGCTTTTTTTGTTGTGCTTTGTTTTATGACAAAATCAAGTTGGGACTTTAATGGAACGCGCGTCAGAGCGTGAGAAGGAAGAGCAAGGAGTAGGGGTGGTGGAGAGTAAATACTCGAAATACTCATTTGCATATTCTCTTCTCGTATTTGTACAACAGATTAATGCTGCCACGATGAGTATAATATTTGCTCTTTCTATCTATCGGAGGCACACACACACGGCACATGCAAATTTTAATGTTAATACGAAATTTTTATTAGTTTTTGGCCTTATATTTGTATAAACTTTTTTATGGCAGACATTTCTCTATAAACAGACAGACAGACAGACATACAGAGAGACACACATTTGATTTATGTCACTTTAATGAGCCATGGTACTCAATCATGTATTCAATTAGCTTTTACCTTTAATCGAGAGCACAAGCGACCCATAAAAATGGTTCTCTCTCTTTCCACCAAAACAGACACACAGACAGACAGACAGACTGAGTCATTTGAGTGTGTGTTCAGTTGTTCATTTGTTCATTTGTTGTGCTGTGATGATGAACACGTATTTCATTTGCACAGCACAAAATGTATGCAAATATTGGGTCAAGGTTCGCTCGATGCACTATAAACTCTGAATATTGATAATTAATTACAAAATTTATTTCACATTTGCTCTTTAGCAGTGAATAAATATATCTTGGAATGATTAAATGAGATTTTGGAAACGTTAAATCCACTAAAAATACTGCTTACGGAAAACGAATATTAAAACTAGCTACACTGTGACTCCTCGCTAATCAGTGCTGTTCCTTTAATAAATGCCATAAAAACCATCATCAAAAGCTACTCAAAAAGTTAGTCTAGGCGGTCACTTTGTTCACAGGGAGTTTCTTCAAAATTAGCGAATAAAAAGCAGACCAAAATATGCCTAAAAAAATTATCCATTATCCAAACATAATTAAAATAATGCAAAGAAAATTAAAATTCCACCAAAAGGTAACCCAGAATATATACTATATAGAGGGTATATATTTCCCGTACATTGTGAATCGCTGAATCTAAAATCCATAATTAAGTAGTTGCCCAGAAGGATCATGCAAGTTCATACACTTCTCATCTGCCTTGCAGCATGGCAAGTAAATCCTGAAAAATCAAGCCAACGCCTTCGCAAAAATTGCAATTCGCCAATTAAATCAACGATCGGATCGGTTTGGATCGGATGGGGCAGGCGGCAATCACGGATTACGTGTGGCCGAATGGTTTTGGGGGTCGAACGGGCAGGTTCGTAATGAAAGAGCGGCGGCGGTGGCGGCGGCATTGTGAGGCATTGCGGCGCTCCATAAAAATGCGCAATGATTTTATACAAAACGATAAGAACGAACCAGACCAGACCAGACCAGAGCGACGAGCGAGAGCGAGAACGAACGAAGGTAATTTCATATCGAAATCGTGTTCTATCCGCTGCCACAAAGTATTAATTTAAAAGCCAAAAACGTGTTTGGAGTTAAGCGCCTCTGAAAGTGGACGATGGACGATGGACGACAGACCGCCCGCCCCTTGATCTTATTCCCCTCCACGATTGAGGGGAAGTTTGGTTGTTAGAGCCGCTGCTGCTGCCGCCGCTGCTGGGAGGCTTTTGGGGCATTATATCATCGACTCAGCCCCACGAAACGTTCGTACTTCCGCCTCATACATTGAGGATTGCACAAGTGCCCAGGCCTGTGAAACGTCTCTACTCAAAAATGTCTTCAAAATGCAGTCTTAACGGCTCGGTGCGTGCACACTTGAAATACGATTCAGATTCAGCAGGAGTGAGGCAGTGGCAGTGGCAGGCGTCTTGCCATATGCATAATGGTTTACGAGTGATGCATAAAAAAACGACGCGTCGTCTCGTTATGGCTAGGCTGCGGGGCAGTGGCAGAGGCAGTGGCAGGGGACAGGAGTGATGTTTACTATATAGTGATGTCATACCATTTATGGTTCATATTTCAGTTAGACGCTGCTGCCCGCTGACGTCGCCGTTCTGTACCGCTAGGCAACCCACCCCACCATCCTCTTTTAAGCTTTAATTTATTCAATTTATTTACGAGAAAATTATCATTTTGCATATTGAAAACTCACTCACGTAGCATTGAGTCGAGTCACTGGACGCCATCGAATGATGATGATCTATGATCTGATTGGATCGCCGCATAACATTTATTTTAATCGTTTGATTATTTAATTGTTTTTGTAAATTGATTGATTGTCGTTCATTTAGATCATTAAATCCAATGGCAGTGGCAGCTGCAGGTAACCCTTGGAGCAGAGCCACAAATATCAAGTTAATCAATTTTGGGTGGTGGGGGGAGGGTAAACCGCTAGACATTTTCACCCACGCCAGCGGCTTTCACTGGAAAGCAGAAAAAGAAAACCAAAAAAAAAAACTAAAAGTCGAAAAGTCAAGAAGTCCAGAAGCAAAGTTCTGTATCTTTTGCTGTATCTTCTGTGGCATGTGGCACTTTCCACACAACATACACAACACAGCAGCGCAGCGGTCTGCTCTCTGTTCTGGTCTCTGTTCCATGTATCGACACATGCTCATCCCAACAGGAAAACCTAACGGATGCCATTACCATAAACAGCCAATGTTGACCTTCATTGCAATCAAACAGAACCACAGAGAGAAGAGACTGCTACGGCTGCTGCTGCTGCTGCCACGAGTGGTGGTGCTCCTCCTGCTGCTCCTCCTCCTGCTTTCTGCTACTTCTGGTGGCGGTGGCCTTACCAAAATTAGAAGCTGCTGTGCAGCATTGTCGTTTATGCTCTTAAGCAGGTTTTTGGCGACAAGTTTTCATGAATGAGAAATGCAGACAGACACAAGAGAGCTTCGGCAGCAGCAGCAGCTGGGAGGGAGCACAACGGAATGGAACGTGACTCAAAAAAAAAAAACAAAAAACAGGGCGAACAGAATTCCTTGAGTAAAAAGTTGTGGGAGCCAAATGTACATTAAAACTGAATTATTCGCCGCTTTCTTTCGTCACTTTGTTTAATCTTGCATAAATCCTTTGCAGAGTCCCGAGAAGATCTACATCAAAGTCGTCGAACTGGAGCCAAAGATCACAGCGCTGGGCGAGAATCTGGAGGAGTCCGTGCGCATGCAACGGGAGCACGATGATACGCTCAGAAATCTACAGGTAAGCAGCCAGAGCTGGAAACCCCCCACCCATTGATAAACCGCCTCTTGCAAATGCCATCCCCCTCCCGACAACGTTTAGAGCCTGCCTGGACCGATGGATGAGTTCGTGCAGAAGGCCGACAAATTGCTGGCCAGCAAAAGGATCAGCTCGGAGCTAGTCAATGCCATGGCCGACACACTGAACATCATCTGGCAGGACATACTGAATCTGCTGCAGGACAGGCAACACATTCTGCTGCTGTGCACACAGTTCCACGACAAAATGACACAGTGCTTCAGGCGCATGGACCAGCTGGAGATGGCCTGCAGCGAGTCCCTGCAGCCGTTGGATGTGCCCCATGTGCAGGAGTTCCTCAGCAGATTCAAGCAGCTGCGGATCGACATGCTCACGGGTGTGATGGCTGCCCTGAAGGACGGCAATGAGCTGCTCTCGCAGCTGGAGGAGCTGGAAAAGCTCGAGACGCTGGACACACGACCCGAGCACATCAAGCGGGATGCCACGCGGGCAGTGCATCAGGTGCAACAGTGGCTGGAGGCGCTGCACGATCGGCGGAACGATCTGGAGCTCGCCTGGCAGACGCGCAAGACACAGATGGAGCAGTGCCTGGCCCTGGGTCTGCTCGGGCGGGAGCTCATCGACCTGGAGGCGGCGCTGCAGAAGGCGCGCATGGAGCTCAATACCATGTACAGCCTGGGGGAGTGCGAGCACACGGCGAACGAGATGCTGGCCAGATACCGCGAGTGGAAGCAGCAGGCGCTGCTGCTGCGCGATCGTGCCCTGAAGATAACCCGAGCCAAGGAGAAGGTCCAGTCGGCGGGTCTCTTTGCTGGCGATGAGGCGTGTGCCAGGGCCTATGCTGTGCTCAGTGGCTGCACGGAGCACTTGGATCTGGTGGATCAGCGCGAGCATTGGCTGCATCAGTCGCGCGAGTTCTTCGCCAAGGCCGAGCACACGCTCAGTGTGCTGGAGAAGCTGGAACTGGAGCTGGCGAGCGTTAAGCTGCCGCCAAATTCGCCCGAAAGCTATGCCATGTTCTCCAAAGTGGAGCGCGATGTGCGCAGCTTCACCGAGGAGCCGCTGCGTCTCGGCTATGGCATCCTCGATGAGGTGGGGCGCACTCAACCGGAGACGCAGGGCGTCAAGCGGGTGCTGGATGAGCTGGAGAATCGCAAGGCCTACATCGAGGGCATCTGTGCGCACAGCAGCGAGGATCAGCAGAGGGTGCAGCGGGCCCTCAGTGAGTTCCTCGCGCAGCACAACGAGCTGCTGGCCTGGCTGCGGGCCTCCGGCCAGCTGCATCTCCAGCAGAGCGTGGACATGGGTCGCAATCTGCAGCAGTCGAAGCAGTTCCTGCTGCAGCATCACGAACTAATGCAGGACTTGGAGGTAAGTGTAGCACCAACACTGTGTTCAACGCTGTACTTAAAGCCCTTTCTCACCCTAACCAGATCAAAGGCGAACTCATCAATCTGCTGCTGGAGTCCATCAAAATGCATTTGGAGTCGCTGAGTCCGCAGCAGCGCTACGATGTGGACTCCAAGGCCGAGTCACTGCACAAGCACTGGATCGAGCTCAAGGATCTGGTGCTGAAGCGCGTCGACTATGTCTCCTTGCTGATCGAATTCTTTGAGCAGGCCAACGAGCTCTCTAGTCAGCTGGACCACATGCAGCGGCAGCTCCAGCAAACCCCCGACGAGCACAAGCTGCAGTTCCTACAGGCCACATGGTCCAACATTATTCTCACCTTCAGCGAACTCAAGTCCCGGGGACAGCGATTCATCAACTTGAAAGTCGGTATCCGTATGCGTCACGGCATCCGTATGAGGGGAAGGGGTGGGCAGAGAGGGTAGCATCTCTTAACTTTAAGAACGCTGTATCTGTATCTTAAGTCATTTTTGGAATTCTCTAAGAGCTTTGTCGCGATTTTTGCATGCTCCGCTTGCCGCCAGAAATGATTGCTAACCGCTGGAATTGCAGCTGCTGACAGCTGCCACATTTGCACGCTGCAAGCATCGAATATTGCACATACTCAACAATACAATAGCTGTGTTGGCATAAAAGGCATCTGTCCAGACTATGGGTCCTTTGGCTATGGCAAAAGCTTGGAGTTGAACTCCACAAATGCAAAAGATCACAAAAACAGAACTTAATTCTAAAGAAAAAAGGAGAACTTCTAGGAGATAGTTGCACGAGGATTTTCTATATATTTTTAGAGAGTATTGCACCTTCAAATTCGATAGGGGGATTATAGGCTTCAGATTAAATGAGAGATATTTTTATGGAATATTTTTTTAGTGAATTTTTCACTTGAACACCTTTGAAAAGAAGCTGAAAATCGCTTGCAGAGATCATTTTATAGTCTTCTTTTATACTTAAATCTAATGACAGATTTATCAAAAGACAATTCCCAGACCAACTTTTATTAAATAAAGCTGGATATTCAGCGGTTGCAGTTTTCCGAATTATTCCTATAACAATTCCATTAAGATTTCTAATCTCTAAAGATCCAAAAACATATCCAAAAAGAGTATTTCAATTTCTGTATAAACTAAAATGGGATTACCAAATTAATTTACTTGAGAATTAGCTAAAGATCGGATGGAAGAGGTGGGGCATCAATATCTCCTATAGTATATCATATTAAAGAAGACTTCCAGCAAGCTTTTCAGACTCCAAAGATGCATTTTATCATGGAATAAGTCTACCAACTTCACTTCCCCTTGTAGGAAAATCCTCAGATTCAGTGCAGAGATAAACAGATTACAGCCTCAGTGCATTGTTACCTAAATTTCCCTGATATGTAGCTGTAGATGATACACTGCAATAGATCTCCGAGAGAGTATTCAAACTATCAATAGAGATCCACAGATAACATTCCTCCATCTGTAGTTGCACTGCAGAAATCCACAATATTCCCCATTGAATTTAGACTTTAAATTTTCGTATCGAAGAGCTCCATAGATCGTTACAGCCTTTAAATTTTCGTATCGAAGAGCTCCATAGATCGTTTCCAGCCGCAGCTTCAGTATTAATGGGGGAGATCGCCGAAAGAGTATTCCCAACTTCAATTTTCATGCCACCGATTGCATCCTTGTGCTTTGTCGTGGCCCATAAATTATCAGCAATATGATTTCGTTGGCCATAAACATCTATTCAAAACGACAACGTCGTCATTTTGCCACAACATCAGCACCATACCACAGAATCCATACATACATATGTACATATGTATGCATGTTTGTAGTACATAAAACCGGGAAGAAAATGAAAAAGAGAAGCAACAGCCGCAAAAGAAAGAAAAATTTTGAAATTAGAAAATTTCGCTGCGGCTGCTGTTGCTGCTGCTGTTGGCTGTTATTCGAGTTTTCCTTCTAGGTTTCTGTTTCTGGTTCGAGTTTTCCCTCTCGAGTTGAGTCCATAAATAAAAGCAAAGCAATTTGCGCGCTGCCAGGGCTATAGATAGGTCTGTGTCTCTGGTCTTCTGGTCTTCTGGCATGGCCTGGACTCTCCTCGACTCGACTCGACTCGGATTTGGATTTGGTGATGTTGTGGCCAGAACGCACCAGACCCTGGCCAAAGGCAGATGCGTTGTGCCACGCGCCGTTGTACTTTTTCTTAGAAAAACAAAAACAAAACATAAAAAACTTTGCGACACTTGACGAAGCAGTAGAAAGCAAAGAAGAACCAAAATAAAATAAGGAAAAACTAATTTTCAATTTATTTTGTGTCTATGCTATTTTTGGTGCTGCACACACACACACGCACAGATTGTGGATCCATATCTTGAGACAAAATCCTCGTCGAAGGCAGTGGAAGAGACGCTGAACGGTTTCAGTAAGCGGCAGTGCGACGTGACGAGCAGTTTGGAGAATTGGACAACGACCATACAGGAGAAGCGAGAAGTTGAATATCTGCTAGAGAAAGTCATGAGTGATAATGAAGAGGTACAGTATGGTGTGGTGGTAATCCATGGCGATAATCCCTCCAAATAAAATGGGCAACTCTTCTTCTTCTCTTTTTGCAGACGGTTGCCAAGAGCACCCAAGTGGACACCCAATTGTATCCGGTGTTTGGTTCCACCTCCATGGATATCAAGCAGCTGCTCGGTGGCATACGGGAGAAGCTCAATTTTGTCACGCAGGACATTGAGCGGGCCCAGGAGGAGATCCAGCATCGCATTCAAACGACACTCAGCATCCAGACAAAGGATCAACAATCGCTGGCCAAAATCGAGCAGGTGATCAACAATCTGCGGATGCTGAAGGCCCGCCTGGATGGCATCAAGTACGACTATCGTACGCTCATTGAGAGCGTGCTGCTCTTCCTGGAGAACATTGCGCAGCTGCGGCACGAGATCGATGAGTACTTTGCGAGGCAGCAGCAACACCCATCCAAGTCTTTGGGTGGTGGTGGTGTGGAGCGCAGCATTGCAGAGCATGAGAAATTCCGTGATCATTGCATGGATAAATTTAGATCGTTAATCACACAATCCGAACTGCTGATCGATCGTGTGCGCGTACTGGAGCCGCCGGGTGCACGCGAAATCGACACCGATCGCATTTTAAAGTTGTTGGAGAATCTGCGCATTCACTTCGAGACGCAGTGCAGTGCCAGAATGTCGTCGCTCGAACGTCTCGAGAAGATTGAGCAGTTCCGCAACGATCTGGAGGATATTGATCGGAGTCTGGACAGCGTTAGCAAGCAGCTGCACGACATCAATGGCCAGAGTGTCGATAGTCTGGCGGCGGCAAAGACCACATCGCTGGCATTTGAGTATTTTGAACGTACCATTGAGGTGAGTGAACCTGCCCGAGACCTGTGTGAGTGTGTGTGTGTGTGTGTTGTTGAGGTGGGTTATGTTTATACAAAAGAATAGAATATAGAGAGAAGACAACACAGAGAGAGAGAGAGAGTGAGAGCAGATATCTTTTTTGTATGTTTTTTTTTTATGCTTAATTTAATGATCCATTTATCTATAGTGTTCAATGCCCAAGCAATTGAAATCGACGCGCCATCAGCAACGCTGGGGCCAAACAGCCCACACTCTCGAGGTAGCCGAAAACTCATAGATATATGTACACTTGCAGCATCCAGAATCTAGATAGAGATCCCCTCTCTGCATGAGCTAAACAGAGTTCTGAATATACACCCCGCGCCACAAGACATTCATCAAAATTTCCAAATACTGCGACATGGATGACATTTTACGAAAAAAAAAAAAAAAAAAAAAAAATACAAAATAGACACTGGCGCGCGCCTCGCAACTTTGAAAATGTTGTAGCTGTCAGCGGAAGATGGGGACGGCGGGGGGCCCCCTCCTCCCCAGATAGACAGCGGCAGCTGTCGTTAGTTTGTAATTAAAAACTTTTGAAATACATCTTTGCATAACGAGACATACAGCTACAGATACAGCTACAGCAGATACAGATACACACAACATTGTGCCCACTTTTTGTATTGCACTTTCTTCATGCATATTTTCTGTGCTTTTTTGGCATTTGAGATTCTGTAAATTGGATACTTTTAGATGGAGGAGAGCTGAAGGAGTTCCGCTGCTTGGCTGCACCTACTTTTTTTGTTGCCCTGTTGCATTTTCTTATATCGCATTTTAAGCATATTTTTTTTCGATATTTTTAACCATCATTTAGTTGCTCGAGAAACGCATTGAAAAGTTCACTGAGTCAACGAGTCAGCAGCTGCTGATCACGAATCCCGAAAGCGAACAATACGTTAAGGAGGAGCTCCATAAGCTCAACGACAAATGGCAGGGCTTCAAGGATCAGGTGAAGCAGAAACGAAAGAGCCTCAATCAGGCCACAGATTTCTTTGAGGTTGTCGAAAAGGTAAAGGGACCCCCCCCACAAAACCCACGAAACTCTTATGGAATACCCTTGCTAATCTATTCCCTCCCCGCCCTTAGATCGATGCCGAATATCGTGAGATTAGCTATTTCTATAGCAGCGTCTCGAATAAGGTTCCCTATCTGCGCGACTCTGTGGAGGCGGCCAATCTGGTCAATGACATCGAGAACTATGTGACAAGTCGGGAGCCAGGACTCCGCTCGAAGCTGGACAGCGCCTCGCAGTGTGCCCACGACATGGGCAAGGTATCGGCGCTCTACAACGATGTGATGAACATCTTTCAGGCCTTCATCAAGCTCAAAATGGACATCAACATTGTGCAGGAGCGTCTCAGCCAGGAGCAGCGGCAGCGGGAGCAGCGGGAACGCGATTCGCGCGATCAGGCGGAACGGGAGAAGGCCATGCGCGAGGCAGAGGCCAGGGAGCGGCTGGCCAGGGAGGAGCAGTCCCGCCTAGAGAATCAGCGACAGCAGGCGGCCATCGAGCAGGCCCAAAGGGAGCTGGTGGCCCGCGAGCTGGCCCTGCGCGAGCAGGCCGTTCGCGACGAGGAGTCGCGCCTGCAGGCTGTGCGCGAGCAGGCCGCCCGCGAGCAATTGGCCAGGGAGCAGGCGGCACGCGAGGAGGAGCAGCGCATTCAAATGCTGCGCGAGATTGCCAAGCGAGAGGAGGAGGCCCGTTTGCATAGCAAGCGCGAGGAGGAGATTCGCATCAGGCGCGAGGACGAGTCGCGCGCCAAGCGGGAGGAGGAGGCACGCATTCAGCGCGAGGAGATCACGCGACTGCAAACGCTGCGCGATCAGGTGGACCAGCAGCGCATCGTCACCGAGAACATCCGCAAGGACATCCAGGTGAACTCCATCTTCACGGAGCTGCGCTATGCCTCGCCCCTGTTTGTGCGCCCCCTCAAGGATGCGGTGACCCGCGAGGGCGATCGATTCGTCTTCGAGTGCGAGGTGACGGGCACACCAGAGCCCACCGTCGAGTGGTTCAAGGATGGCATCAGCATCCTGAGCCACGCCGACTACAAAACGAGCTTCGACAAGGGCATCTGTCGGCTGGTGATCGAGGAGACCTTTGCTGCGGACACGGCGCGCTTCAGCTGCCGTGCCTCGAATCTGGTGGGCACCTGCGACACCAATGCCACGCTGGCGGTGCGCGAGAATGCCGCCGAGGTGCAGTTGGTGCCGCCACGCATACTGCGCTTCCTTGAGAGCGGCAAGGCCACCGAGGGCAGCTCCTTTCAGTTCGGTTGCATCGTCGCGGGTGTGCCCCTGCCCACGGTGCAGTGGTTCAAGAACGACAAGTGCATCGACGACTCGCCGGACTATGTCATCAGCTACAACAATGGCGAGGCAACGCTCCGCTTCGAGGAGGTATTCCTCGAGGATGATGCCGTGTACACCTGCAGTGCCTCCAATCCAGCGGGCATCGAACACTGTTCCGCCAGCCTGATTGTAGAACGTAAGTGAAGCCCAACCCCCTTCAGTCCAACAGTTCGATCTATAAGAAGGAATCTCTATTTCCTTTTGCAGCCTTGGAACCCACAGAACTGCCCAGCTTCAAGGTTCCCCTGTCCAATGCGATGGCTCGTGTGGGCCAAAAGATCAAACTGGAGGCCATCGTGAGTGGCATACCCCGACCGGACATCTGCTGGGTGCACAATGGCAAACCGTTCCAGCCACGCGATGCCAAGGTGAGTTTTACGATTTCTACCACACATATCATGGGATGGAAGGGGCTGGGATGGGCGGGGAGGGGATGGGTTTAACAATCCCATTAAAAATATGCCATATCTTTAGATATCTTTGAAAATACTCAAATGCTGTACGGGATCGGGATCGTACTTTATACAATTTATTGGAATTTCTCTTTGTCTTCTCTTTGTACTTTCGTTGGAATGCCAACTTTTTGGCATACAAATTGAACAAATTTGTTTGTATATAATGGAGAAAGTTTATTTTGTTTTGACACACAGAAGCTGGAGATACTCTAAGGAGAAGATTGGGGAAAGATGACAAATACTTTAGTTGATCGAGAAGATTACAAAAAAAATATATATACGGATGTTTTGAAAAATTTTTTGTAATTGAATTATTGGGATTAGGAATTATATCCAATTTTTGAGAAAAATAAAATAAGAAATATATCAAAACATTCTAGAAAATATAACCGAATAACATTAGACAGCAGTACTAGAAAAAATTGCCAATAATACCATAAAAATACCAGATGGAAACTAAAAAAAATACCATTCCAATTCAAGAGTAAATACTAGATAAATATTAGACTTACTTATGAGTTTTTTAACATCAATGTTAACGATCCAAACTTCCAGAAATCACTAGAAAAAAATAAGATTACCAAAATAAATTTAAGTAATAGGACACGCTTAAAATCACTAGACACATACATACATATTTACACACTACACATACATATAGTAATTTTCAAAATATCCTAATGCTAGAATAATAGAGCAATTTAGTAGAGAAATACTCAAAATAATATAAAAGATTACTGGAAATATAAAAAAAATATATATATGTATATATAGTATCTATGGTATACTGACCCAACATACAAATACCATATAATATAATCGGAATCCCCTAAAAATACTATTCCTGAGAAGTCTTCCAGTTTCAATTCAGAAAAATGTTGACCCATTTTTGACCCTGGAAAACTTTCTCCCCCACCCCAGCCTTTTCAGCCAGCATTTACGATCAATATTATTAGACCCCCAAGCAAACCGAAGGGTAAACAAAAATTTCAAGTAAAAGAAAAGAAAATCCCAGCAAGTACAATCGCCCAATTCCCGTTCCAAATCCATTGGCCCCCCACCCCCGGCAACATCTGTCTGGCGATTGGCAATTTCCATATAGACAGTGCCATAGAAAATCGTAGATACACACACACATATGTACATACAATATTCGCGAATATATGTAACAAATTTTTTTTGGCTGGAAAGAAAAGATAGCAGCCCGAGGAATATCAGAGATATTCTATATTTTGTGGCTGGTGGGCGGGCGGCGTATTCCAAAATTTGGAAAAGAAAATATCATCATGTTTTAGTTTTCTCAGATCAGAGAGTGGACAGTGGACTGACTGACGTCAGTGGCGGGCGGTGCTGAATGCGTAGACGCATCAGATGCTCCCTTGAATGATGTTGATCTACTCTGCTATGTACATTATTAACATCCTCTGCCCGTGCCCGTGCCACTGCCACATTCTTAATGATCATCGTTTGGGATTGCAAATACAGAAAAATTCAAGGCAAACATTTCTGAAAATACGCCAACGCACTTTATCTTTCGATGCAATTTAGCAGCACAGCAGAACGAACATATAGCTGCCATATAATATCTAATAGCTGCAACTTTTTTTGGCAGCTAACACTCGTTGCATACTCTGCTCTGCTGCCGCTGCTGTGTGTTGCAACGAGCCGTGCAGCGTGGCGTGGCGCGAACCAAATTCAATTCACCACAGTGTGGCAGTCACAGTTAGTCCAATACCCCAGCCACCAGCCACCAGCAACACATCTCATATCATCTCATCCAAAATGTATCCCAATCCCGGGATGCCGCGCGTCAGGCAATTTGTTTATTGTGGGCGCCAACATTGTATATACAAATAAGAAGAATATATAGATACAAATATATGTATATATCCAACGAAAAAGTAGCCAAAAAAATTGCCAAAAAAAAAAAACAAAATTTTAAATGAAAAATTGCAAAATGATTTCATTGGCCGGGCCACACACTTTTTAATTGCCATTCTGTCATTTCGTTTTTATGCTCTTTATATGCCAAAAAAAACATGATCTCACTTTGGTTTTAATCAATAGATTAAAACCTCTTTTTTTCTCTCTCGTAATTTTAATAGTTAATTGAAAAGTGATCTTTGTTCCATTGAACACCTGTACTCAGGCGCTTCCTGCAATTTGGGGCCAGAAAACAAAAGCGAGCAAATAAACAAACAAAAGCCTCCTCTCTTGGGCCACCGCCGGATGCGCCAGGCAGAGATCGCAATTGCTGTGGCACATCCGCAGCACACGCAAAACACAAACACACAGAAACACACAAAACACAGAAAGAAAGAAAGAAACAAATAAAATCATATAAATAAGATTGAAAATTTGTGTAAAAAAAGAAGAAACATTCAATTGCAAAAAAAAAAGGAAAGAAAAGAAAAGTAAAATAAAAAAAAACAAAAAACAAATGAAACAAAAACTAGAACAAAAACGAAAGCATTAGCCTCGGCATCGGTTTGGATCGGATCGGGTCGGATCGTGTGTTTGGGTGATCGGGTGATCGTTTCTTTTCGGGTGTGGTGAATACAAATACTCAACTACTGAATACTGAATGAATGCTATGCCATGCCATGCCATGCCAATGCCTTGTCTGATTTTTCCCAATGATTTTTCCGCTGTACTTTCAGTATGAATACGGACGCGTAACGCTGATAATCCCCCAAGCTTATCCCAACGACGCCGGATCGTACGTGCTGAGCGCCAAGAATCTAGCCGGAGAGGCATACACTAGCTGCAACGTCATTGTCAAGGGTCGCCTGCCCAACGAAACGTCTGATTCCGAGATGGCCAGCGACATAGAACCGATCAAGCCGGCCGTCCATTTGCCGTTGAAGGATGTCTCCATTTTTGAGGGCAAACCTGTGCGTTTGGATTGCGTGATTGTGGGTCAGCCGGAACCGGAGGTGATTTGGTATCACAACGAGCGGCCCGTCAAAGAGTCCGCCGATGTGCAGCTGCTGTTCCAGGGCGATCGCTGTTCGCTGATCGTGCAGGAGGTGTACCAGGAGGATGCCGGCCACTACAAAGTGGTGGCCATCAATTCGGCGGGCGAGACATCCAGCAGCTGTGAGCTGAAGGTGACGCCACTCAACCAGGCGGAGCCTGCCACCCGCGCCCAAGTGGAGAGGCAGAGCCTGCCCAAGGATGCGCAGCCAAAGTTCGAGCGGCTGCTGTCCGACGTATTGGCGGATGAGGGCGAACAGGTGGTGCTGGAGGTGCAGGCCAGCGGTGATCAGCCGCTGAGCGCCCAGTGGTATCTGACCAACAAGGAGCTGCAGCTGGACGATCGCGTTACGGCCACCGGCGATGCCGAATCGGGCATCTTCAAGCTGATCCTGAACAATGCCAGTGTCGATGACAAGGGCGTCTACACGGTGAAGGTCTCCAATCGGGCGGGCGATGCCAAATGCTTCTCCCATCTGATTGTCAAGTCTGTGAATGCCCCGGAGAATCGGCGCAGCAGCCAGTCCTCCGTAGAGATCGTGGAGCGACATGCCTGTCCCGAGTTCAAGGAGCTCTTCAGCGACAAGCAGGGCAGCATCGATGATGTGGTCAAGTTCGAGTGCATTGTGAAGGGCAGGCCCACGCCCAAGGTGCATTGGTTCTTCAACGATCAGCCCGTGCATGGGCACAATTTCCTCGTGTCCACGAGCGGCGATCGCCAGGTGCTGACCATCCAGGCGCTCACCCATGATGCCGTCGGCAAGATCAGCTGTGTGGCCGAGAATGAGGCGGGCAGGGCCACCTGTGTGGCATTTCTGAACATCATTGGCAGCGGTCTGCCGGCGTCCAGTGACCTGCAGACCATGACCCAGGAGCACAATACCGAATCGTCGCGTGTGACCATCAAAAAGCAGACATTTACCACCACCTCCACCTCCCAGGTGAACTCGTACGAGGGGAATGTGCCCCAGACCGAGGTGCATCACTCCTCCGCACACATCGATCAGTCGCTCAAGCAGCTGGGGCAGCAACGGCCCGAGATCACCGAGAGCCATCACTACCAGGAGCTGCACAAGAGCAAGGAGATGAGCACACCCAGTCTGCAGCAAAAGTCCTTCACTGTCGTGCAATCTGCCGCCAATGGCGGCGGTCCGGCTGCACTTCCTGCTGCCATAACCATCCCCGATTCCCCAACTCGCCTGCGCAAGGAGATTGCGCCCCGCTTCACCACGCCACTCACTGGCAAGATTGTCGATCAGGGCGCCGATGTGAGCATGGAGGCCATCTACGATGGCTATCCCTCGCCCGAGATCAAGGTGGAGAAGAACGGCGGCCAGCTGTTCGACGATGCCCGCACAAAGATCTCCAATAAATTCAATCGCCTCACCATCGAACTCAAGCAGGTGGGCGTGGCCGATGCGGGACGCTATGCGGTGACAGCCTCCAATGCGGTGGGCCAATCGACAAGCACCGCCGATTTGGTGGTTAAAAGTGAGTAATAATATTTTCTTACTGTTTCTTTTTTGTTGTATGAAGATATATTTTATGGAACTACGTCGTATATACGAGATATAATTCTGCTTAACGGGTTCAAGGTTGCCTTTAGATGGGGCCATCCATTTTCGGCTATTTCCCTGGGCAAGCCATTTCCCAGAGCTAAGCTAAGAAAATTAATGCCAATTTTACTCACATTGATCCATCATTTGGGACATTAATTCTATGGGAATTTTCTTTATTTGCTAATTTCTGAGAATTTAGGAAATTTCAGCTTCTTTTTAGATGTTTAAAATTGAAGAAAACTTCACCCAAAATGGATTAACATTCTCAAGGCAGGAAGGAAGGAAGGAATTTGAGAGATAATATAGTTCAAGGACTAAGTTTTGTGCTCATTTAAGGAACATTTCTGCTGAACATTTCCTAAGACTTTCCCGAAATTCCTGGACTTTAAGAAACAATGCCAAAAAAATAAAAACCAACCATCAAATCTATGAGATATGTAGAATATCCCCGATATCCACGTACTTGCTGAAAGGAGCTATAGCTAAATGCAAATAGAAAATATTCACGGATCTAAAGTATATATTTAATATTAACTGGGCTGTCTACATTTTCGGATTTAAGATTTTTGGGATCCCCAATGCATTCTTTTAGGGCTAAGATTTTCTCCTACTGCCAAAATCACTTTTTTAAAGCCATCGAAAATATATGCGATAAAAAGCGAAAAGTGTACAAATATCTCAAACATAGAATATACATAAAGAGTAGTATAGAGAGAATATACACATGTTCTACCCAGCCAGCCCAGATAGACCCTATATCATATGTTACGCGTCCGCTTGTCCGTTCGTGCCACACACATCAATCAGCGTAGAGCATTAAAGTGTCATTGTATGGATCTTCAAACGTCAATGCCTCGGTGGGAAAAAAAAAACCCCCAGCCAGCAGCTCCCTTGCGGAATATTGATGAGTTTTTAGTGGGGTCGATTGTTGTTTTTGCTTTGGCTTTTGTTTTTGTTGAAATTTCAATAGTTTGGGGTCCCGGGGAAAACAAAAACCAAAAAAAAAAAAGAAGAAAAATCTTGGCCAAATGCAAAAAAAAGATTTTCTTACACGAAATTTATAAATATTCTTCGTTGTGGGTGGGGACGTTGGTTGGTTGATGGCTGTGGGGCTGTGGGGCTGTGGATAGGGGCGTTCTATAGGATGTGGATGTGGCTGTGGGATGTGGGCTATGTGGGGGGATGTCTGATGTCTGCAATTATTATTATGTAAATGGCGATCGTTTATTTACTCGAGATTTTAGCAGATTTGTTGTCGTCTTGTGTGGTTTCTTCTTGGGGGGATTATATACACACATATATACATGTACATATATATATTTTTACTGCCTGGCTGATGTCCGATGTCTAAGCGAATTATTCATTATGGCTGCTGCTGATTGGGGGCGAACGGCTGCATCAAGTAAATTTTAACCACACAAAAACAAACAGACAGCTCCACAGATCCACAGATCTCTAAGTTTCGCAATGACACAAAAAAAAAAGAAAGAAAAGTGTACGCTAATGTTTATGTTCATTGAGAGTGTTCCATTCGCGCCTTGCGGTTAACCCAATCTTCAAGATTTTTCATATGGCTCCCATCCATCTCTCATGTGTTTCCCATCTTTGCTTCTTCCTGTACTTTAGAGACCATCTTTCCGCCAGTATTTGGCAGACGTTTGCAGGCACAGGTCGCCAAGAGGGGCGAGAAATTAATAATGGAAGTGGAGGTCACTGGACTGCCAGATCCCACGGTGCTCTGGCTTAAGGACGACAAACCCATACAGGATGCTGGCATATCCCCGCATCGATTGCTTGCCCAGGGCAACTCCTATCGTCTGATCATTGAGAAAGGTAAGCGCAACTCTAGCATAATTCTCAGAGTGGATCTACTATATTTTCAACTCTCTTTCATTGCAGCACAAACATCGGACTCTGGCAAGTATATGGTGAGGGCCACAAATGCTGGCGGTGAGGCCAAAAGCATTGCCGACTGTGCCATACTCGAACCCTCGCCAGAGCGCCTTCAAGAGGTCGTCAAGACAATTGTTTATGAGTCCACACCCACGACCACAATAGCGACGGCAGCCCAGAGCGATTATAAAACTGAAGTAAGTCTGCATGTGCTCAATATCTAACAAACAAAAAAAAAAAAAACCACCAACCAACCATCGTTCCATCGATCTATGCATTATCCTTCAAAAAGAAACAAAAAATAATTGAAACACATATTACTTCTTTAATTCGAAATTCGATCAATGATTTGGATCTACTTCGATGCAAAAAATATTCTAAACTCTATTCTAAAATCTATTCTAAACTCTATTCTAAACTCTATTCTAAAATCTATTCTAAACTCTATTCTAAACTCTTCTTTCGACTCTGTTAAGTTTATCATAGAAAAGTTTTCATTTGATTTGATTATTTAATAAACAAAAACTTTTTCTTTGTGAATTTTCTCTACTCTCAATCAACGTCGCTCGTGTCCTTCCTCCGCTCGCCCGTTGGTTTCGCTTTAATCATTCCACACACACACACACAAAAACACAAATCGACAAACAACATCCTTGGGTTTTCCATCTGCCACAAACAAACCAATCAAACAAACCAACCAAACCAAACCAAATCACTCATCATGCCACACATTCTGTATCGGAAGCAGCAGCCACACCAGGAGCAGCCACAGTCATATCAGAGCACTCAAAGCGATGTGACACATGCGAATGATCTGCACGGCTTATCCGAATCAAAAGTGATCACTGAGCATCGTTGCACCACCGAGGCAACCATGCGTCTAGAGCACAAATCGGCCTTTAATCTGGAACTGCCACAGCTGACAACACGCCCCAAGACACCAACAATACCAACCGATACAACCACCGATACAACCACCTACCAAACGACAAACACTGCCGCACCCACAACAGAGATCGAGACACAGATACCGATCCAGACCCCATTCACGGCCAGCTTCAAGACTGGTATAACACAAACCCCACCGCCAGTGCCGCCCAAACCCTGTACGCCAGTGGTGGCCACACTTTATGGCCAACCGCAGCAGCAGCAGCCACAGATGCAAACACAAACCAACACCAGATACGAGCAGAGCGAACACAAGTCCTCCAAATCCTCATCGTCCTTTGATTACTTCAAGAAGATCGATGAGGAGACCATCACGCAGCGACCCAAGCCGCTGGCCTTCAAGCCACTGGAGACGGTGGTGCGTCAGCCGCATGCCCAGAGCCTAGCGGAGGAGCTGCGTAGCCTCAATCTGATGCCGGGCGATGCACCCGAATTTCTATACGAGCCGAAGGCCGAGCGCAAGGAGCCCAAGGTGCCGCTGATCAACGAGAAGATCAAGATCCTGTCGGAGGTGCAGCCCATGGAGCCGCCACCACAGGGCGGTGTGCCAGTGTTTCCGCCACCACTCGGGGCCCTGCAAAGCGTGCAACACGAGACGACGCTCACGAAGGAGGTCAAGGTGGAGTATGGCCAGCCGATTGTGCGTCCTGCCGCGGTCCTGGCCACGCCCGCACAACAGAATCCGCGTTCGCCCTCGCCCAAGCCCTCGGCCGAGGGTGTGGCCATGTCCAAGCTGTGGACACCCGCAGGTGTCTCGGCACCAGCAGCAGCACCAGCAGCCACGCCCACAAAGGAGCTGAATGCCCCCTTCCTGGTGCAACAGATAGCCAAGAGCATACCACCGGCCCAGGCGGCGGTGACGCACTTGGGGAATGTGGACCTGGAGCCGGGCACACCCCCGAGATCTGTTTTGCCCCCAAGACGGAGGAGGTGATCCGCCGCCGCTCGCTGGTGGAGAGCATGGAGCAGAAACTGGAGCAGAATCTGCTGCAGGGGCCGCGCAAGGTGTTGCCGCATTCGGTGCCGACTCTAACGCCGCCTGCCCCGAACGCCTACCGCCCACCGCCGCCCGTGTTGCCGACACGTTTGGGTCTGTACGAGAGCGACTATGAGAGCGATCGCTACAAGTACAGTGGCAGCGAGAGCGATGCGGAGCCGCGGGCACAGAAGCCCGCTACCACGGAGACGGCGTCCGGCTTCAAGTCGAGTGGCTATGCCGCGGATACCGAGGAGCATTCGAATTATAGGAAATCGGAGACGAGCAGCAGCTACTACGAAACAAAGTCATCGTCATCGACTACCACAGCTGGGCCACAGCAGCAGCAGCAGCAGCAGAAGCTACAGCCAGAGCCGCCAGCAACGATTTATTATACCACTCAGGCAGCACAGCCGCAGCCGCAAGCGGCGAAGGTTCGCATTTAGATACCAAAAATAATTCTCTATGTATTTCTTGTGTGTGTCACTGTCACTATATCTGTGTGTTGTTGTTGTTGTTGTTGTTCTTGTTTGTTGTTGCTAGCACTTTTTGGGGGAGTTGTTGTAGCCTCCCAAATATAAACATTAAATAAAACTGCAAAACTGCCACTAAAAAAAAATTAAAAAAAAACATTGCCCTTTAACCTTCATTTTTTAAGTCTTCATTTTCGCCACTTTAATCCCCTGAGCCACGTTCTTGCATTTTGCCTGATCTGATTACAAACAGTTACAACCACCCACCCACCTAACATGCCATTTCCTGTGTGTATGCCGCCCATAAATATCGCAAAAAAAATTAATCAAAACTCTTGATTATCTATTCGTTTAGGACTTCTTTGCCACATCGAAGCACAGCAGCAATTACACGCACAACATGCAGCAGAGCAGCAGCAGCAGTTCCACGCATCACCAGGAGACCAAATACTCCTCCACGGGTGTGCCTGTGCCTGTGCCTCTGCTGCTGCCACAGCCGAGTCCGGTGCCTGCCCAGCGGAAAACGCCAGCGGCAGAGTTCAGTGACTACAGCAGCGAGGTGGATGAACGTTTCCGTTCTGTGTCGCGCACCAACGAATCGGATGCGGACATCAAGGGCTATCGTGTGGTCTTTCCGCCCACGCCCACACCACGCACGAATGTGGCCACAAATGGCCACAAGTCGCCCGTGGTGGTGATCACACCCTCGCCCATGGAATTCGAACCAATGCCGCACGATAGTCGCCCCAAATTCGAGCCAATTGGCAAGGAGATTCGACATGAGATCAAAACGGAGACAAGCAGCAAGCAATCAAAGTTCTCCCAACAGCAGCAGCAGCAACAGCAGCAGCCCCTGTTCAAGCCCAAGCCTGTGGCAGCAAAATTTATAGCTGCCACACAGCAGCAGCAGCAGGCACAGCAGCACTCACCTGCTCGTCCGACCATGTACTACAATGCTGTTGCTGGTGCCCCCATGCACCTGGCAAAGGTTGCCACAGAGACCAAGAACTCGATGCAGATGCACGAGTCCACGGAGAGCTCTCAGCGGGTGGTCAATATGCAGCAGACAAAGCGGATCATTCACTTTGACAGCCAACAGCAGCAGCAGCAGCAGCAACAGTTGGATCCCTTCCCCTATAGTCCTGTCCCAAGTCGCACGCCTTCGCGACAATCGCATCTGCCACCGCCGGCCACGCCCACAAAATTCATACCCGGCGAGTACCGGGAGAGCGACTACGAGAGCGAGGTGGAGGCTGGCTCGCGTATCCAACCGCTTTGGTCGCCCTATGGCGATGGCCTGACCCGCGGCTATCGTCGTGTTGCACCGCCCCAGGGCTCGGTACGCTCCTGCAGCCTGCCACGCGCCTACGAGCGGGTTCTCTCACCCATGGAGTTTGATCGGGGTCCCGAAATGCCCACCAAAATCCATGTGGATGTGAATACGCTGAGGAAAGAGCAGCGTGGCGGCAGCACAGTGACCACACAGCACAGCACCCAGTCGCTGAACAGAAATACCACCATGAGGGGACAGCAGCAACAGCAGCAACAGCAACAGCAGCAGCAGCAGCAACAGCAACAGCAGTCCATGGATCAGATAGATAGAGCTGGTACCCTGCCACGCTGTGGATACGGCAGCAGCAGCAGCAGCAATACCTTGCAGCAGCAGGCCGAGGGCCAGGGCAAGCGTATGGGTTCCACGTTCCTACAGAAATCCCATCAATTCATCGAGGATATCAGCCGGGATGTGCAACAGCAGCAGCAAAGGAATGGCCATGGCCATGTACTGCGACCAGGATTCAAGCGTGCCCCCAGCGAAGGCAGCAATCAGCCGCAGGCCTATCGCGATGAATCGCGTGTCTCCCAATACGGTAAGTGCTTCAGTTCCGCCCAACCGCTAATAGTAAGACTAATCCAACAGTAGATACAAAAAATACTTGATTTGGAAATTTATTTATATTTTGAATTTGAATTGAAATTTTTAAAGTTGCGCAAAATTTTGCGATTGAAAATTGGTTTGAGAAATTCTTTACTTTTGTTACGCCTGAAAAAAAAAAACCATTTGATATCATACCAACTATTCGTACCCATACTAATCCCCCCAGACACCCCCATTGAGTTTTATCGTTAAAGTATTTTTTTTATTCTATGTGTATGTTTCTCTCTATGTATCTATAAGATTGATTTTGTTGCTGTATAAAAACTTCCCTTTCTAAAATTATGCTGTTCAATCAGGCACCAAATGCATCGATCCCAATACCGGTTTGATCTATTTCAAATACGATTTTGGCTACGAGTTTGGTATACTGTTTCCCGGCGAGGGCCACAAGTTTGTCAGTAGCCAGTGGAACAGCAAGGGCGGCAACAGCAATGGGGCCAGTCTACCCATACAGAATGGTGGTGGTCGCCATTCGCCGTATCCCTTGAAATTGGCACCCGGAAATGAGCTGGTTATACCCGTGCAACATGAGCGTACGGGCAGATCTACACCCGGTGGTGCAGGCTATGGCTCTACTACACCCGTTTATAGCTCCACGCCTGGCTATAACTCCGCTCCAGGCCATAGCACCACTCCTGGCTATAGCACCACTCCTGGCTATAGCTCCGCTCCAGGCTATAACTCCGCTCCAGGCTATAACTCCGCTCCAGGCTATAGTTCCGATAATGAACAACAGCGTCGCAATGTTGGAGCTGCTGGCGTGCGTCTGGCACCGCGCTACAATGCCCAGAAGCGCTATAGTCTGCCCAGCAGCCACAGCCTTGACATACATCTCGATCGGTTGCACGCGCAGGCGCCGCGTCTACCAACCGAACAGCAGCTCGTCCGCACAGGTACAGCAAAATGGAGCAGCCGAATAAATGCACAGGATGCGCGCACTCCATCAATCAAAACAAAATGTTGATCTAATGCCAAAAAATCACGCCATCTTGCTATCGATGTTGTCAAATTTTGTACTAGTCATTTAGGACACGGTTTTTTTTCTGCTGTTGTTCTAGTACACTCTCAATCCTTTTGTGATTAACCCCTGATCGCCAGCCATCGCCACGGAACACTCTGTGTATATACCATATAGCATATAGGCATATTCTTAACCCCAATCAGCATGTTATCTTAACCCACAAAAAAGAGAGAGAGGTATACACAATCCTCTCTTTTTTTTGTTTTGTTTTTTTTTTTGCTCGCTCTGCCTCGTTTGTTTTGTTGTTGTTTGTTGCATGAAAAATTCTTGTGTGTGTTTAAAAAAAAAAATTGTATAAAAAAGTGATATAAAAAAATATACAAGTTGCTGTGTGCACCGCCGCCCGCCCGCTCGCGTTTTGCTGCTAATCCCACTAATGGATGGCACACCGCTTTTGCAAAAAAAATGCCCAGAAGCCAAGAGATTTTCTAATGGTTTTTCATCCGCCCACGCCCCACGCTCACACTATCTATGGAAATGCCGCCCGCAGTGCCGGAACTGCCCAATACGGAACCCGTCAATGCCCATTTGAGCCGCGATGAGCAGGCACAAAGACAGCCATTATTCATAACGGTAAGCGCGCGAGTCATTTACCTTTGACCTCAAACGGTTTCCACTCTGTAATCTCTGCTATCTCCTCCATGCTCCCTGCTCTCTGCACTCGCCTCTTTGAAGCCCCTGAAAGACATTGCAGTGGGCGTTGGGGGCACAGCCCGTTTCGAATGCATTGTCCAGGCCCATCCGCAACCGCAGGTCAACTGGAGCCACAACGGTGGCCATTTGGGGCATGGCAGTCGGCATTTCATTGAGTACCGGAACGGCGTGTGCCGTCTAACACTGCCACAGGCCTATCCGGGTGAGTGTACATCATAATCCTGGGGGGGCGGGCATAAGCTCATTATACCCCCTCGCTCATGCTCATCCTTGCTCAATTTTGATTCATTTTGCAGACGACAATGGGAGCTACGTTTGCACCGCCATGAATCAGCTGGGAGCAGCTAGCACAAGCGGAAATTTGAATGTTTCGAGCACAAATCGTGGATTTAGATATTAAGCTATTAAGTGCTGGCATACATACATACATACATACTACAATTATTTATTTATTTATTTAATTTATGATTTGTTCAATGCCAAAGTTTTTGCCTTATTGTATTGTAAATTTTATTCGTTCGTGGTTCAAATGTGACTCCTAAAAACTATACTACAGCCGAGTGTTTGATCCATCAGATCAGCCAACGGAAGGACCATTATTGAGGATGCATTCATATAACAAAAAGGAATTATAGTATTACTTGTGTTTTTGTCCAAATATCAAAATAAATCAATTATGAAAACGAAATGGAATTTTTGTAAGGTGTAATCGCATTTTTATTGAAAGTTTTTTAATGTTCTATCGGATCTCAATCACCTTTGACGTTTTTTAGGAGTTTCCTTTTTTATTTAACTTTTAGAAACATTCGGGAAATTTGATCATTTTTCATTTTTCATTTACCTTTTTATTTTTTTCTAGATTTTCCCTTGTTTTTTAATCGTAAATTTCAATGTTTTTAGAGACTTAAATTTTATGTGAAGAAAAACATGAAAACCTTTCCATTCCTTTTTCCATTTAGAAAGTTTGTCCCTTATGCTTAACCTTTTTTTTAGTTAAATTTTTTAATTTAATTTTCTATATGATGGAATTTATCACTTTGTTCCATATGAAGATCGCGAAAAGTCTCTTCCACTGGCGCTCTCTATAGTGAAAATCTCGCACTTTTGTTCGAAAAAGCTGTCTACACAGTTTTCGAAAAAGCTTTGAGGAAAACTCAGTCGTTAGATGGCGCCAACTGATCGCCGATTTTGCCAAATTTCCTAATTTTCTGATATTTATTGTATTTACAACAGAAAATATTGTAAAGTTTCCAAGAAATCTTTTGAAAATATTTTCCATTTATGAAAAAAAAAAAACAAAATTCATAAACATTTGAAAATAGTTTCCCTTGCAGGCAAAACTTTATTGAACATTTCACAAAATGTTTGCATTCCGATATACTATAACAATTCGTTAGATCTTTTTTGGGATAAATATACTGGCAGATTGATTTGGACATTAATAATATTTTTCTTTGATAAACTTTGATGTGGGGGATATTCGTGATTAATTATTGCTTTAGCATACGTAATTTGTGGTGCTGCCATCGTGGAAAATGATGATTTTTCGAATGATATTCTGAATGAATTACAAAACTTAAAAAATTCATTTATCTTCACCAAAATAATCATTCAATCATTACTCATTGCCACTAAAAGACCGAGTATTTCCCCTCTGATTCCTATAGAAAATCAGGTCAGAGATACGATATTGAGGAATTGGCTAAACAAATGTTTGGATTTGTGTGGAATGAAAATGTTGAGCAGATTTTGTTCGCTTTGCTGGCTCATAAATGATTTATTTGGGTTTTTTCGGCAACGTTTATTTATCTCATTTTCTTGGCATCTCGCGCGTTGCTCTTCCTTTTGTCGCGATCGCTTGCCAAGAATCGAATGGCGCAAAATGCGAGAAATTCGCTACGAGACGGCCACGGACGGCTCCCAGACATAAACACACTCTTTGAGGGGGGCCCTGGGTGTGCTGGCTGTCAAGTCAAGGTAATGGGTCCACGTCCACACAGAGAAGGCCCAGCAGAATTTAGGCCACCATCTCTCTCCCTCTGTGGGCAGGCAAGTCCTTGACACTGACACGGAAATCTATGGCAATACCTGAACGTAACCGTTGCCAGTTGCCCTCGTTTTGCTGATGGGCACCCACCCACACCCAGTGGTCCACTAATTTTGGGATGGATGACACACTTCTGTCGATGATTAGTTGTAGGTTGGTGGGCTGGTGGACTGGTGGGTGTATAGCATGTACCGCCTGCCAATCTGCCAATTTTCGTATTGTGGGCCAAAGTGCTCGGTGTTCAGGCCATTAGGCAGTGGTCCAACTGTCCCAATTGCATGTTATGTTACTCAGCAGCAAAGCCCCGACCAAAACACTTCTGAATCATTTGCAGTGCATCTCGTTTGCGAATCAACACGAATAATTATCATTGAAATCAAACATATGGCTCGGATCTTGATTATCGTCCACATATATTAATGACTCATTAAATTGCTTATAAAATTCGAAAATATATTCCGAAAACTTTGTCAAAACAAAAAAATAAAGATGGAAAGAAAACAAGAGAAACATGAAAAACATTTCGCATAAGCCGCATATGCGGCCCCGTGTCCGTGCCCGGCCTTGTGCTGGCTGCTTTTTTGTGTCTTTATTTTTCCTTTGGCCATTTCTTATTTTTTGTATGCTGTTTGGCACATTTGCAAAATTTCTTTCGCTCTAGCATCAGTTTTTTCGCGCCGCCTGCATGCCCCATGCCACATGCCCCTCGCTTGGACAAACACAATCTGTGCATATGTCGGCAAATGTGGTGCCACAGTATCGATATTTTTTTTTGGTAAATTTTACTCTCCCCATGGTTGCCCATGGACAAACATTCTACGGTTTTGTATATGTTTAATATGATATGATATTTCTGAATCAGAAACTAGGGTAAACTTTGGGAAAATTGAAAAACTATGATATGGATAAACATTTTCTTGGAAAAACTATTCTCTAATGGAAATTTCTGGCACGTTTGATTCTTTAATGAAAATGATTTATGTATCGAAACTGTAGCTAATATTGTGGAAAAATGAAAAACTCTAAATACAAAAGTGTCTCCTGGTTTGCAGGGTCATTGCTTCAGGAGTATTACTCTGATATTTTGGGTAGAGGTATTATTTTTTTATTTATTTACAAAATTGTAGCCTAAGATTTATCCTATGGTTAAATTTTATTATAGCCAGAGCAGCGAGGCCTTCAGGTTAGGTATTATTATTTCAACATAAACTGAGAAAACTGAGAAAAAAAACTCCTTTAAGGGGTTTCCTTCTAGCTGAGTTTTAATGGAAAATCTTTTTATTTGTTTTATGAAAATGATTTCGAAATCTTCTAATATTTACTGGATGCCTATCCCAATACTAATTCGTGTTACTAGACTTTATTTGAAAATTCTTACCACAAAAGTGTAATTTTCTTTTCTGTTGCAGTGAGCTTTTCAATATCTTTTTTTAAAACTAAATCCCGAATAATCCACAAAAATGCAGCACCTTCTTCCCTTATTTTTGGACCACAAAAATTGTCGCTTCCTCCACACAGAAATATTGTACATTTTTTTGTGATGAATAGCTTCTATGCAAACATTCGCATTTTGTGGTGCGGTGCTCTTTGGCTCGCGAGAGTTTTTCTAAATTAATTAGGCAATTTTCTAAAAATACCAAAATGAACTCAGCGCCAAGACAAGAGTCACACACACAGAAACACACACAAAACAGAAGTGAGATTTTTCCTACTTTGCTACTTTAAATATTTCTTTCATATTTTGCTTAGATTTCCCATTGGGTTTGCCTTCATTCTTTTTGTTTTGTCTTTGTTTTTGTGATCCATTAGATGGGGCATTAGATCTCTCATGAGTGGTTTATTGATGGTTCAATTGCTCAACAGTGGAAAGGCGTGGTAACACTTTTCATTCGGGATATATAATAATGGGAATTTATAGGTGGAAGATGTGTAAATTGTGATCTAGAAATCCTCGTTAAGCAACTACGTTGTCGTTTTTCCTGCCGAAAAAAAGGAATATATATTTATTGCAAATAGTTTTTATATTAATTTTTGTGTGGCCCTGGGGCGGCACTTGTCGCATATAAATAATAATACAAATATTTCCGCTATATATATTACAGTGTATACAGTTATAGCTGTATATATCGTATGTATCTAAAAACAAGACAAAACTGAATTGAGCTCCTTCGATAGATATACATGGATAAGAGCCAACACCACATCACATTTGAGAATTCGATATTATAAACTAGTTCCCAGAGAATCGTAAAATTCGTTTTCCAACCCACAACCCACGGACTCAATAGCTACTATATCCGTACATACATATCTGATCTGTCTATCCGTTCTGGTCCATTCAAAAGTGTAATAAAGCAGCAGCAGATCCTCAGAACTATAGAGAACTACGCAAATGCCGGCTAGATTTGGGGAATGTACAACCATTTAGCACTTCGAAATCTATTCAACATTTTTGTTGCTACTTTTTGGGTATTATAATATTTTAATGTCTATATACATACATAGCTATAGATTTAATTTAATTGGGCGCAACATTGAAGGCGCCGCGGTGGCACCGAACACACAAATTCAGTTGCATAAGACCCGATGACAGGGCAGCAGTCAGGAGTACCCCTTTCGCCCGCTCTAGTTGAACATGCTGCTCCTGACTGTGCCACGCGTTGACCCTGCCACCAAGTGGCAGGCAGTCAGTCAGTCAGTTGCTCGTTCTTTCTCGTTCGTTCTGGCCCGCAAACAGAATCTTGGCAGCAAATTTATTTATACGCACGCTGTAAATTAGCAAAGAAAACAACAGAAAAAATGCCTGCTGCAAATATAATCAAGAAATACTTGGTAGAGCCAGAGAGAGAGGGTAAGGTAGGGTAGGGTTATGCGAAACGAAGTAGCTGATACCCTAAGAGATTGGGCAACGATATAAGCAATAAGCATCCCTGGAAAGCATAGAATTTTGGGTTTTTAGCTCTTCAGAGATATCAAAGAAACGTTTGATTCTGTGCCAGCAATATGATTAAATTATATAATATAAATAAAATTTGAAATAATTTTCTCCGACTTGATTTAATTATGTAAAACTAAATGCAGCTTTAGCTTTAAATATCATTAGCAAAAGGGAATTTATTTCCACAAAGAACACTTTTCTTAAAATTGGCAGACAAACTTGATATATTCAGATAATATGATCAGTTTTATTTTTTTTAATTATTAAACAAGTTATATATCCAGATATAAAATCTTTCAACATTTGGTGTGCTTCTGTGCCACTTTCTCACAACGAATATTATATCTATGGTTCCATATTACCCTCTCCTGCAAGCGGTATGCGCAACAGTGGGCAAACAATAGAAAATTCACTGAGCTGAAAATTTTGCAGCAATTCTAAAGCTTCAAGATGATAATGATGATGATGGTGTTTGCTGATGATGAAAATGGGGGCCAAGTTTTAGCATAAACACGAATGCCGTTAATGGCCAAAGGAGCAGCAGCAGCCACAGCCGCAAGGCGCAACAATTTAATTGCTTTCAGCTAATTGAACAGGAATATAAAACCACACAGACACAGACGCAGTCACAGACGCAGTCACAGTGCAGCAATAAAAACCAAAAAAATAAAGATTCCAATCATTTCCGCGTTTCTAATTTTGC